AGTATACAATTTGCATAAATCTTTGTGCTGACTTGCAACTCTCCTATAATTTGTCATTTGGAAAAATCCACTCACTGTAAGCTTTTGCTCTGGAAAAACACAATGCCTCATTTTCTAGAGAATCAGTCAATAAGGCAAGTGATTACAAGTTCAAACTAGGTTTCTGTATTAGACTCTGCACATTTAAATATCATGACAAGCTATTTAGAAAAAAAAACCTGCATGACTGGGCATATGAATAATCTGCCAATATATGACAGCTTCTTTACTTGCCTCTTTTTGTTGAGGCTGGGAATAGTAATAAATTAAAAAATGTTTTCAGGGTTTTTAGATGTTCCAAGCTGTAAAGAAGCCTGGGCTGCTGTAGAGGAGCAGTGCAGAGAACACTGGCAGGTATGAATTGCTACATGCCACTTGTGATATGTTGGGGGTCAGGATCACCAGCCAGCCATACTGGTAAAAGCAAAAAAGTCTCAGTTTTCAAATGATAACTGAGAAGCAGCTTATTTTCAGCATGAAACATAAACAAAATAGTCCATTAATCTCTGGAACAAAGAAAACTTTCCGCTCACCACCAGCATATACTTGTCCCTTATCAGGGTTTTACATCTCCACCTTTTCCCATTCATTCAAAGAAAGGGTCACCATAGCTTATCAGTGTTTCAGTAACCAGGCAGCTCACAGTTGTCTCCCACAAAGGTGTCCTGCTCTACACAACACCTCTTGGACACCTGCTGATTGCTTCCTGCTGTTCTGTCCCCACATGAAGGCGAATGAAGGTATAACTGATAATGGCTGTGTAACTTCCTACCTTCGTATCCAAGCAGTGGAGCAGACCGGACCGGCAGATGCTCAGGTTAGATGGATCCAAACGTATACACGGGAATGAAATCAGCGTGGGTTTATTTGGTCCAAAATACAGTGACAAACAGTTATAAAATACTGTAAGGTAGTAGAGGTATTGATGCTGTCCTGTGATATCTTTCCTGAGGCTAACTGCTGGTCAAAAACTGATGCCTTCACAAGCCCAGGGTATTGAATGTCCTGTCACACAGCTATAAAGCACATAAAATGGCTGCAGGAAGTGACTAGAACCAAGGCTTGCCTAAAACCACGCCCAGCAAAGAAAAAACTTTACTAGCAAGAACAGAGGCATGCAGCATGCAAATTCTGGCCAGCAGATGGCAGCAACAGATCAAGACATAGAAACAAACATGGTGAAATAAGAATTGGTGATACAATGCACAGTTAAATAACAAATATGAGGAGAACAGCACACCTGCCTTTTTCAGCCCTCTCTTGCAGGCAGGTTAACCCTTTCTAGTCCAAAGCACATGTAGTTAGGAACATAATAGAATAGCCATGGAACTGACATAGATGCGTGACCCAAGAATGTTAGCAGTTCCAATGTCAGGCTAGTAGCAGACTCATTTATCTTGAATATCTTGGCAAATGTGCTACTGGCCTCTGCTCATTGAGAGCAGGTAAGCTGGTGTATACTGTCATGACAACTGGGGTAAAGAAAAAATATTCCAAAGCATGTGTAAGGGTTAGAAGAGACTCTTTGGGGTCTGACTGATAAATTCAGTATAGTTAGTCCATGCCTAAAACAGTGCCCACTTTCAAGTTGTTAAGCCAATTCCTGAGCAAGGGCCTACAAGGAAGTATTCAGCAAGGAAGGTCAGAAACTTCTCCCACTGCTCAAGCTCACTCCCTCTCTCACCCCAGGAAACTCACACGTCTTTTTCATAACTGAGCTGCATGGGGTCAAAAATGTTATGGCCACAGACAAGGTCCATCAGGGTTTGCAAGAAATACAAGGCCCAAAAGCCACAGGGTCATGGGTACAAGGCACGTGGTCTAGATGAGGAACGTTTCACCACCACCACACTTGCTAAACCTCCTTCTCCAGGCCACCACCACCACTTTCCCAGCTTTTCTTGCTTGCTTTCCTTTGCTCTCCCTCTTTCATCCTGACTGTTACATACTCCTGGCCAGTAATTTTTTAATAATGATCCATTGTCCGGCAGTTTATGTGTGACCTTGAGACTGACACATACAGCAGTTAAGAGTATTTAGCAAGTACAAGGACCATGGAATATAATTACTGTGTATACAGCCAATTGGCACAGGTTCAGTTTAGTAGTCTCCCCTTTTAAGCCACTACCACTGCTTGGCACAACCTGGCCATGGTGACCGGTTGCCACAGCAAGCATAGATCTTTAATAATCATAGTCATGCTAGTTGTTTTGCTGGGTTGACTTTGTAATTGTAACGCTAAATAGATTACTTGGGTCAAGTTGTATACAAGTGACCCTCTGGTGACAGGGTCACTTTAACCCAGGGGCGGACTGACCATTCAATCACTCGGGCACTGCCCGAGGGCCCAGGGTCAGTAGGGGGCCCCACGAAATGCCCCTGGTACCTTTTTTATATGCTTTTTTGAGTGTGGGCAAGGGCAGATGGGCCCCATGATGCCCTATTGCCCGGGGGCCCAATGAGTTGTCAGTCCGCCCCTGCTTTAACCCTTTTGCATCCAGGTCCGTATGTCATTCAAACCTGACAGCAGGGGTTTTATACACAATCCGGTGGCTGCAGCCTTCAGGATTGTGTATAACACTGACAGGCAGACTCCTCCCTGTCAGGTAAAAGCAGTTGGGTGGGTGCCAGCGGGTGGAGAGGAGAGCTCTCCTCCCCTTCTTTCTGTGACCTGGACAGCGACGTGTGTGACGTCACTTCTGGGTCACCCCTGTCACTTTCTCAGCTAGCACAACTAAGAAGTAATGCATGCATTGCAGTACATCCAGTGGAGCCCAGAGGAGACATGCAGGATATTTTAGACCCTGCATGTCTCAATAAAGAGAACCTGTCACCTAAAAATCATCACATAGGGGATTATGTGTCCCCTATGTGATGAAAAAAAAAGTTAAGTGAAAAAAAAATAAAGTTACACACAAGTACATAATATCCTCCTGAAAAATTGAAGGTCCCCCCACCCCCACATATACGCATGTACGAATGTAAACTCACACATCAGGGTGCCTATGTGTGAAAATATCAATTGCGATACACGTTAGATATCGCTGCGCATGCTGGAGAGAGAGCAATAATTCTAGCACAAGACCTCCTCTGTAACGCTAAACCGATGACCTATTTGGGCTTTTGAAGCGTCGCCTATTGAAAACATAGGGTATGGCCGGGATGCTCGGTATGCTTTGCTTCATTGCCCCATACCGGGCCTCTTGGATCCCCAGCAGAAGTTGGCTTCCTATCTGTTTTTATCGGCCACTAGAACAATTGCTCAGGCCTGGAAGAGTCCGTTTGTCCCTCTTCAGGGGTGCGAGATCGTATGACCACTATGATGCTCAACGAACAGATGTCGAGTATCCGCAACGACTCCCAACATAAATTTTTTAAAATATGGGAGCCGTGGTTGCAATATGCCTTTCCCTCACTCCCCCCGGCTAGTCTGGGGATGTAATGGCATTCGGTATTGGCGCTCTTGGACCCCTGCTCTTTGCCCTCTTTTTTTCCTCTTTCTTCCTTTTTCTCTCTCTGTTTTTGGTGTGACTGGACAGCTGCATTTAGTTGTTATAGTCAGTTACATTAATGTTTTGTAACTTATGTGCCATTGATAGCCCCTGCGTGGGCGTACCTTTTGCCCTGTTGGCGTTAGAGCACTGTTTTTCCTTTTTTTTTATTTTGCTTTTTTTTTTATCTGTGCAATTTATAGCCCCTGCGTGGGCGTGTTTTATTGCTTCTGTTTTATACTGTTTAAAAAATTAATAAAAACCATTGAAATAGAAAATATAGGGTACTGACGTTTGTTGCCATTTCATAGGCACACACAAATTTAAGGTTTGGCATGTTGGGTATCTTTATACTCTGCGCAACCTTGTCTTTTATAATTTACCAATAATGTTGGTAATTTATTGCGTTTGTTTGCCCTAAAATTCACTTTAGAGTGTTTTTTTTACAGAAATTTTACGTTTCTTAGACTTTTGTGGTAATATTGTGTAAGATAAAAAAATTGGAGCTACCACTATTTTATTCTCTAGGGTAGTGTTTCTCAACTTTTTTCAAGGCACCCTTTCAAATTATGAACAATCTCAAGGCACGCTGTAAAATTATGAACAATCTCAAGGCACCACATTCTAAAATGTAAAAAACTATTCTACTAGTTTTACATAATGCAGCAACATCTACGCGGTACACCCAATGTTAGAGGTGATTTATTCTGCCAAAGAAAATTTACCTTTGCACACTAGTGTTGACTAGAATTCCAATGTTTCTCCCCTACTTTTTCTCCCTCACTCAGCTTATGTGACCCCAGTGCTGATGGAGAGGGGCAAAAATAATGCTGTGCAGGCACCCAACATCCTCCTTATCAACTGATGGGATCTTTGGGTGTTAGGATGCCGGCAGCTAGAAGGTCATAACAGTGCACAATGAAAACCTGTAGCTTTGTGTATTAAAGGGCAGGATTGATCCACTTTATACAAGTTTTGGGCAATTTTTAGGCATATTGCCAAGGCACCCCTGAAGAAGCATAAAGTCACCCCAGGGTGCCTGGTCACCCTGGTTGAAAAAGGCTGCTCTAGGGTGTCTGCTTTCAGAAAATATATAATGTTTTGGGGGTTTTATGTAATAGTCAGGCATAAATTTTTTTTTAAATGTGCAAAAAATGGCTCTAGTAGCAAAAGGGATATTCTCCATTTCGGAAACAGTGTTACCCTTATAATCTACTTTGTTAGGGATTTCCCCAAAACATGAAGCCTAAGCAAACAAAACAGTTGTTAAAGGCATTTATATGTTTTCTTTGTTCACAAAAAAATTAAAAGTTGAGTTAACTTCCATCACCCTCACCACCCCTCCGGTCCCTTATGTGATCCCCATCCCCTCTTCAGCAAGGACAACAGAAACCTCTCATCAGTGTATAATCAGAGAACAAATACTCTGGTGCTGTGTAGTGATGTTTTCCAGGGGCGGACTAACAACTCATGGGGCCCCCCGGGCAATAGGGGATCATTGGGCCCCTGTGTCCTTGCCCAAACTCAAAAAAGCCTATGTAAAAGGTACCAGGGGCATCTCATGGGGCCTCCTACTGACCCCGGGCCCTCGGGCAGTGCCCGAGTTTCCAAATGGTCAGTCCGCCCCTGATGTTTTCTAAGTAGTTCCTATTCAGTATCTGTAAACTGGTAGAAGAACTGATTGCCATAAGCAAAAACCTCTTGGTTATCAACTGATTTAATAATCTGAATATGTCTATAATTTCAGGTTAGACCGTAGAATTATGCAGGTAGAGAAGAACAGAACATTGGACTCTAAATTAGACATAATTACGTATATTGGGGAAATACATAGAGCAAAGGCCTGCAAGGATCTACACTAGAGGCAGAGGCATCTGCCACTCCATTCCTCAATGAATCAGCTTGTTTGCTAGGCAACATTATGTATCTATGTATAGACATTGCGTCACTGTGTAATCTAATCCTTCGGGGAAGATGTTCACCTGGGATGTGATTATGAACTTCCGGCTATACTGAATTTCACTGCCAGGACATTATGTATCACAATCATTATTATAGCCTCTTGATATTTTAGGCCGAGCATTGTCATTTAAAGCATACTTCTGTTTGTTCCAAGCATGTGTAACAATGGGGTGTTTAAAACTTCTTTTTAGAGGCTAGATAAGATAACTTGCTTTCATACATCAGATTTAATTCTGAAATGTATCTAAATGCAAACTCCTTATATATATATATATATATATATATATATATATATATATATATATATATATATATATATATATATATAATCCAGGATCTTACTGGAAATGGCAAACTGAAATACTGCATGGAATTTTGTCATTCTACAGCAGGCGTCTCCAATCTTTTCAGTACAAAAGCCATATTGTAAATGTTACAAAATAGTTGTGGGCCAAAAATAAGTCGGTTTTATAAATGAATACATTTAAACGGATGACTACATTCTACTTGGAGCCCTTTTGTAATCAACACAATATACATCAGAGTCTCCTATACATCAGAGTCTATATCCCCTTTACATCACAGTCTACATCACAGTCTCCTTTAAATCAGGGTCCCCATTAGAGACAACTCTCGCATCAGAGTCTCCCATACATCTGAGTCTCTATCAAAGTTCCCCTTACATTACAGTCTACATCAGAGTCTCCTTTAAATCAGGGTCCCCATTAGAGAAACCGCTTACATCAGAGTCTCTATCAAAGTCCCCCTTACATCACAGTCTACATCAGAGTCTCCTTTAAATCAGGGTCCCCATTAGAGACACCTCTTACATCAGAGTCTCCCATGCATCAGAGTCTCTATCAAAGTCCCCCTTACATCACAGTCTACATCAGAGTCTCCTTTAAATCAGGGTCCCCATTAGAGACACCTCTTACATCAGAGTCTCCCATACATCAGAGTCACCTCTTACATCAGAGTTTCTATCAAAGTCCCCCTTACACCACAGTCTACATCAGAGTCTCCTTTAAATCAGGGTCTCCATTAGAGACAACTCTCACATCAGAGTCTCCCATACATCCGAGTTTCTATCAAAGTCCCCCTTACATCACAGTCTACATCAGAGTCTCCTTTAAATCAGGGTCTCCATTAGAGACAACTCTCACATCAGAGTCTCCCATACATCAGAGTATCTATCAAAGTCCCCCTTACATCACAGTTTACATTAGAATCTCCTTTAAATCAGGGTCCCCATTAGAGACACCTCTTACATCAGAGTCTCCCGTACATCAGAGTCTCTATCAAAGTCCACCTTACATCCCAGTCTACATCAGAGTCTCCTTTAAATCAGGGTCTCCATCGGAGTCACCTCTTACATCAGAGTCTCCATCAAAGTCCCCTTACATCACAGTCTATATCAGGGTCCCCTTTAAATTGGGGTCCCCATCACAGACCCCGCTTACATCAGAGTCTCTCTTACATCAGAGTCTCTATCAAAGTCCCCCTTACATCACAGTCTACATCAAAGTCCCCTTTACAGCACAGTCCCCCTTTTATTTTTTACTTCTTGGGCGCTGCACTCTTATACATTTATTCCCCCTTTACAACACAGTTCCCCCTTACATCGCATTCTGTCCTTATATCAGAGTCCACCATAAGAGTTCCTTCTTACATCAGGGTCCCCCTTACATTTGGGTCACCATCTCAGAGCTGAGACTGTGCACAACAGCAATGGGCCAGATAAAATCTTGTAGCAGGCCACATGTGGCCCCCTGTTCTAGAGATACTGTATATGAAACCAGTGGGTGATTCTGGCCAACACTGCCCACCCAGGAATTAATGGTTGTAATGGAACTGATGATAACTTTTGTGCAGCTTCATCCTATTAAAGGGTAAGCCTACCCAAAATTGCATTTACTACTGTTTTATTCTACAGGGTTTCTGCTTTCAGAAAATATATAATGTTTGGGGGTTTTAACTAATCTTTAGTCTGAAATTGTGCATTTTAACACATATGAAAAAATATTGTCTAAATACGAGAGTCGTGCATTCTTTTTATGAATTTCGGTGCGCTTTGTGTATTTCTTCCAGATCTGTGCAGTAATCCGGTGTGACACTTTGTCGGTGTGCAGTAGCTTCCTGTAATGAAGACTGATTATTGTTGCTTTTCCCTCTTTGTTTTGCCCCTGTAATTTTGTGTAGGCAGCCTGTAGTGAAAGGACCTGTTGGGTCCTTCTCATAGTTCTGCTCTCTGCACAGACTAAGGTGTCCGTTTATGACACAGAGAATAGCTGCGATTCAGAGGATCTCATCTATTCTCTGGTCATTCACAGTTTATGACACTCAGGAGATCAGCGGAGAACATGTTCAGCCCAGGGGCGGACTGACCATTTGGAAACTCGGGCACTGCCCGAGGGCCCTGGGTTAGTAGGGGGCCCCATGAGATGCCCCTGGTACCTTTTTCATAGGCTTTTTTGAGTTTGGGCAAGGACACAGGGGCCCCATGATCCCCTATTGCCCGGGGGCCCCATGAGTTGTCAGTCCACCCCTGGTTCAGCCCTTCACCGAAGATCTGTGTTCTCCCTCCAGATTCTCCAGCCCAGAGCTGGAGAATCGGAGGGACCGCAAACTAAGCAGCGATAATTTACCTCTGTTTAGTAAACTGATCTTTTACTGTAATCTCGCGAGATTATAGTAAAATCAGCTGTTTTCCAGCGTTTGTAGACCGTTCTCCAGCGTTTGGAGACCGTTCTCCCTTCGTTCGGGAGAACTGCTTCATAAAAGGCATTCACAGGAGAACTGTGTTCTCCGAGAATGCCAGAGAACTGAGCAGCGATCATTTATCGCTGGTTCATAAACGGACACCTATGTACACTACAGAGATTATGTCACTACTACTTTACAAGGTAATAACTGGGTTTGCATATGCATTTGGTGCACACAAAGCGGATTTATATATCCTTGGTTATTGAGAAGGATATTTAAATTCAAATTGTTGTGCTTGGAAGTCAGCTTTAATTTGCACATAAAATGCGATAGGGTTTACCCCAGAACAAAAGCTTTTCTGTTTGTGGTATTTTAAATGTAACTATAAATAGATGTATTGATTTGTCAGTCAATAACTCCCAGGAAGGATTCTGGTATGTGGGATGGTGATACAGTCTCTGCTGGCTGAAAACATTCTGATAGAGTTGGTTCTTTCTAAAGATCAATTATAATCACTACATCTAGATATTTTCAGCTGTCAGGTTAGAATTATTGTTTCTAAAAATATAGACAATAAATGTCTCTCTTCATCTTTCTTTGTAGTGAAGACAAACAAATGAACTTATGATGTTATAATACAGAAGGCCCAGCATTCCACAAGTCCGGAAATGTGTTCTGTCTACATCTAATGCAGGGGTCTCCAAACTATTCATTTCGAGGGTCACATTGTACATTTTACACATATTCACAGGCCAAAAAAAATCAGTTATTTATCAATTAATCTACAGCCATAGAATGGAATACAGTTTGACATGGTACCAACAGCAGAGCTGGATGGCGCACCTGTATCCTCCGCCGGCACCTAAATTCCATAGCCTCATGCATGAGGGCTGAACTTCCAGTGTGCACAGGGCCTTACATCTGTGGTACTGTCACCCCCCCCCCCCCCCCCCCCACACACACACACACACACATTTCGTCCCTATCAGAGTCTTCCCATACTCCCACATACCATATTCTCATCAGTCTTCCCACACATTTCTGTCTCCATCAGAGTCTCCTATACATTTGTGGCCCCATCATTCAACAGATTATCACTGCAAATTGGTGTCCCCCTCAGACCCCCTCCCCACCATATTTGTGTCCCCACACATTTGTGTTCCCATCAGAGTCTCTCCACACATTCGTGTCCCCATCAAAGCCCCCTACACATTTGTGTCCCCATCAGAGTCTTCTATGCCTTTGTGTCCCCATCTCCCATCAGATTCTCCCCACAAATTGGAGTTCCCCTCAGATCTCCAACCCACCACATTTGTGTTCCCATCAGAGTCTCTCCACACATTTGTGGCCCCATCAGAGCCCCCCACACATTTGTTTCCATCAGAGCCTCCTATACATTTGTGGCCCCATCATTCAACAGATTCTCACTGCAAATTGGTGTCCCCCTCAGACCCCCTCCCCACCATATTTGTGTCCCCACACATTTGTGTTCCCATCAGAGTCTCTCCACACATTCGTGTCCCCATCAAAGCCCCCCACACATTTGTGCCCCCTCAGAATCTTCTATGCCTTTGTGTCCCCATCTCCCATCAGATTCTCCCCACAAATTGGTGTCCCCCTCAAATCTCCCACCCACCACATTTGTGTTCCCATCAGAGTCTCTCCACACATTCATGTGCCCATCAAAGCCCCCCACACATTTGTGTCCCCATCAGAGTCTTCTATTCTTTTGTGTCCCCATCTCCCATCAGATTCTCCACACAAATTGGTGTCCCCCTCAGATCCCCCCCATATTTGTGTCCCCATCAGTCTCCCCCACACATTTGTGTTTTCATCAAAGCCTCCCACACATGTGTGTCCCCATTAGAGTCTTCTATGCCTTTGTGTCCCCATCCCCCATCAGATCATCAGATTCTCTCTGCAAACTGGTGTCCTCCTCAGATTACCCCCCCCCCCCCCCGGACATTTGTGTCCCCAGCAGTGTGCCCCATACATTTTTGTCCCCATTACACATTAAATTTTCCCCCCAAATCGGTGTCCCCCTTAGATTCCCCCCACACCTATTTGTGTCCCTATCAGCGTTCCCCTGACACATTTGTGTCCCCATCAGACCCCCCCACATTTGTGTCCACCTTTAGAGCCCACCTACACATTGTGTCCCCATCAGAGCTCTCCACACATTGTGTCCCCATCAGAGCTCCCCACACATTGTGTCCCCATTAGAACCCTTTAACACATTTGTGTCCCCATCAGACCCTCCTCCAACACATTTGTGTTCCCATCAGAGCCCCCCAACACATTTGTGTCCCTATCAGAGTCCCCCACACATTTGTGTCCCCATCAGACCCCCCACATTTGTGTCCACCTTTAGAGCCAACTTACACATTGTGTCCCCATCAGAGCTCCCCAACAAATTTGTGTTCCCATCAGATCCCCCAACCATTTGTGTCCCTATCAGAGCCCCCCATCAGACCCCTTGCTGCACACCTGTGTACTCATCAGAGTCCCTGTACATATTTATGTCCCCATCAGAGACTTCTGCACTTCCCTATTCCTCAAAGAGCACCCCCTTCCATGTTTGTGTCTCTCATCAAAGCCCTTCTTTATATTTGTGTCCCCTTAAGAGCCAATCCCCCACACACACACACATTTGTGTCACCATCAGAGAAACACAACCCCTCCTCGGACACATTTGTGTCACCAGCCGTTACATTAGTGTCCCACTTACATTGGTGTCCAGCTTCAGTGCAGATCTGCTGCACCTCCTGATTCCCAGGCACATTGTATGCAAAATTACAGCCATAAAGGACACAGATGCTAACAGTGGGGAGGGAGCCGGGTGGTACAGCAGGTCTGCACTCAAGTATTTCATTGGTTGCCAGCAACTTAGTGAGGCTGTGGGTTGATGGGTTTGTTGGGTTGCGTGACCTGCACTGCATACTGCCAGGGTTGAGTATACAATGCACGTCCTGCTACCTGACATAGTGTGAGCAGAAAGTGACCCTGCAGTGAGTCTGGGGGCTAAAGCTGCGGGATGGAAAAAAGTCCCAGCGGGCCAAATGTTGCCTGCAGACCGTACTTTGGAAACCCCTGGTCTAATGCAATAAATCTGAGTTACGGTATCAGGTGATAGAAGATGTACAGACAACGTAGAGGGTAGGACAGAATTCACTCCATCTTAAAGTGATTCTAAAGGATTTAAAAAAATTAATAAACATGTTATACTCACCTGCTCTGTGTAATGGTATTGCACAGAGCAGCCCTGATTATCCTCTTCTCAGGTCCCCCATCAGCTCTCCTGGCTCCCCCCCACTGAGTGCCCCCTTGGCAAGCCACTTGCTATGAGAACATTTGTGCAGGCTCCATGATGCACACAGCACGGCTCGGCCCCACTCCCTGCTTTCTCCTCACTGGCTGTGACTGACATCAGCAGGAGCCAATGGCTTCCACTGCTTTCTTGATCTCCAGAGATGAGAGAGATAGCTGAGAGAGACACTGCTTTCAGCTACAGCACTGGATCGAGATCAGGCTCAGGTACTTTAACAATAAGGGGACTGGGGGGAGGAGATGAAGCTGCACAGAAAAAGTTTTTTACTGTAATGCAGAAATTGCATTAAAGTAAAAAAAAAATGTACCTTTGGAACCCCTTTAAAATTTGGTGAATTAATAAACTAGCCCTTTTGAACCCTGTTGTCCATATATTCAGAACACATGAAAATACAGAGGGGGGCATAGGAGTTCAGTCCTGGGGTTAAGATCCTCAATAACAGGTCTCCCAGAGAGCTACCTCATCCATCCCACTCAGGGGTCAAAGGATGATGCAAACATAAGAAAAGATGGAGCGCCTCTTTGAGTACTAGTAAAAAATACTTCAAAAACATACAGAGGGAGATTTACTAAACCTGGAGAGTACAAAGTCAGGTGTAACTCTGCATAGAAACCAATCAGCTTCCAGGTTTTATTGTCAAAGCTTAATCGAACAAACTGAAGCTAGAAGCTGATTGGCTGCCATGCACAGCTGCACCAGATTTTGCACTCTCCAGTTTTAGTAAATCACACAGAGTGGATGTTCTTCGCCTTTTGATGTGGTTGGGAAACCACATGTGCAATCATGGTACTAGGTTTGGTAGACATATTCTTAGAAGTTGAGGGATATGAAAATGTCTGTACAGTTCTGCTATCCAAAATTCTTCTGTGGGGGGCATTGCTGCTGAATAGGATACACAGCCTATAAATTTAGGCTAGGTTCACATCTGAGCGGGTGTGGGAATGCATATAAATCACATGCCTTCCCACACCCACAGCAAAAACATGCTGCTGTTTAACAGATGCATGGGGGTACTATGAATCTTAATGGCAAATCCAACAGTAACCAGAAACCGGAGCTCAAATCTCTCTTGCTGCACTCAAAATGGAATCCTGCACTTGCTGAGGTGCCGCCCTTGGTAGATCAGGGAATCTCGATGCTAGCAGAAAAGAACCTCAGGTAAAGTACTAATGCGTTTCGGGAGTCAAACACTCCCTTCCTCAGAGCAATAGAAATAGGAAGGGAACGTGTTAGCACTTTATGCTGTCCACGACTGGCATCCTTTGACTTCTTGTCTCTGTTTTTATTACCTTTTTGGCTTATGAGTATGTTTTTGCATTTTTAAATACATTTCATAGTATCACGGTAATGTATGAGAAGAGTGCACCCATTTTTGTTATTTTCTGCTAATCTTAATGGCACCTTCACACACTGGAAACTGCAGCATGACCGATTTATATGATATATATATATATATATATATATATATATATATATATATATATATACATACAGTTGTGTTCAAAATAATAGCAGTCAGACATCACTAACCTGATCATTCACTGTTTTTGGTAGAAATTATATTTCTACATGGCAAATAATTTACTAGCAGGTGTAGTAGAGTAATAGAAATCCAACAGACCCAACAGTCATGACATGTATGCTGCTGATTCTGTGTAATTGAATCACTAATTGAAATGGGCATGTTCAAAATAATAGCAGTGTGGAGTTCTATTAGTGAGGTCATTCATTCTTTGAAAAACAGGTGGCAATTATTGCCCTTATTTAAGGAAAGAAGGCTGCAAATGTTGTACATGCTGGTTACAGTGCATTTCTCTCTGAAATTCTGAGGAAAATGGGTCGTTCCAGACATTGTTCAGAAGAACAGAGTACCTTGATTAAAAAGTTGATTGGAGAGGGGAAAGCATATAAAGAAGTGCAGAAAATGATAGGCTGCTCAGCTAAAATGATGGCAAATGCTTTAAAATGGCAACCAAACCTGAAAGACGTGGAAGAAAGTGAAAAACTACCATTCGAATGGATAGAAGAATAGCCAAAATGGCAAGGACTCAGCCAACAATCAGCTCCAGGAAGATCAAAGAAGGTCTAAAGTTACCTGTGAGTACTGTTACAATTAGAAGATGCCTATGTGAAGCCAAGCTATCTGCAAGAAGCCCCCGCAAAGTCCCACTGTTGAAAAAAAGACATGTGCTGAAGAGGTTACAATTTGCCAAAGAGCACATTGACTGGCCTAAAGAGAAATGGCGCAACATTTTGTGGACTGATGAAAGTAAGATTGTTCTTTTTGGGTCTAGTGGCCGGAGACAGTTTGTCAGACGACCCCCAAACACTGAATTCAAGCCACAGTACACTGTGAAGACAGTGAAGCATGGTTGCGCAAGCATCATGATATGGGGATGTTTCTCATACTACGGTGTTGGGTCTATTTATCACATACCAGGGATCATGGATCAGTTTGAATACATCAGAATACTTGAAGAGGTCATGCTGCCTTATGCTGAAGAGGAAATGCCCTTGAAATGGGTGTTCCAACAAGACAACGACCCCAAACACACCAGTAAACATGCAACATCTTGGTTCCAGACCAACAAGATTGACGTTATGGAGTGGCCAGCTCAATCCCCGGATCTTAATCCAATAGAAAACTTGTGGGGTGACATCAAAAATGCAGTTTCTGAGGCAAAACCAAAAAATAGAGAAGAACTGTGGAATGTAGTCCAATCATCCTGGGCTGGAATACCTGTTCACAGGTGCCAGAAGTTGGTTGACTCCATGCAACACAGATGTACAGCAGTTCTCAGAAACAGTGCTTATACAACTAAATATTAATAAAGTGATTCAAAGGAAAGCAAAATCTTCAAACATTTTTCAGTTTATATAGTGAATGTTTGAGTTTGTAAAGAAGAATACAAACACTGCTATTTTTTTGAACAGTCTAATATTCACTTTCTTCAATTTTTTTAGAGGAACAACACAAATTTGATCTATTTTTCTTCATGTTTTGATTTGGAATAGAATGTGTAGTGTTCCCAATGCATGTGTATGGAAATAAAAGCTATTAGAAGGATTTTGAGCTTTAGGTCCTCAAGTGCTTTTTGAGGCCTATTTCTGGCTATTTTTTTTTTTTTATTTAGTATGATATACATTTTTATTTACTGATTATATAACATTATTACTTTTTTTATAGCTTAATCAACAAAAGTATTTTCGTTGATCTGCAGTTGTATGTGTCAACTATTATTTCCTGGTCTTTTTCATTGAGTTCCTTTACATCAAGGGTGTCAAACTGGCAGCCCTTCAGCTGTTGCCAAACTACAAGTCCCATGAGGCATTGCAAGATTGACAGTTACAAGCATGACTCCCAAAGGCAGAGGCATGATGGGATTTGTAGTTTCGCAACAGCTGGAGGGCCGACAGTTTGACACCCCTGCTCTACATTGTTAGAAGAGCCCAGGGATGCTGTAAACCAAAAATAAATCAGAGAACCAGGTGCAGATAATACCAAGAAACCCCCTTTTCACCATCACCCTGTGAGGCTAATAGGCCAGTGTCTGACCTGGCAGCCATATCTGTCACAGAACCCATTGTGTAATCTTTTTCATAGAGACAAGGTGGTGATTGGGCCTAAGACTTTTTTTTTTTAGCTGTCCCTGCCTCTGTTCTCTTCAACAGAACAGGGACAACCTTACAAATGAAACATAAAAAAATTAAGAAAAATAGGACAAATAGAGAAAAATAGAAATATCTAAATACAGGATTCTGTTAACAAAATCCTACTACCTTTGCATGCAGAACTTTTAGGCCTGGCAGACCTTGTTGTTTAATAAAAGGGCAGCTAAATGCTAAATGCCAGGGCAGGGCAGCTATGGCAGATGGGGAATAAATAGGGGAGACTTTGGTGTACACAAGGCCTGCATCAGAAACAGGTGTCAAACCAAAGTCACCTTGTATGGTGGCTACCAGCCGGTTCTCTTTGGTTTTTTCCCTGCAGCTATGCCTACAGAACAGTGGAGCCAGATTTAATAAATGTAACTCTAACTTTTATTTCATGATAAGAAACAGTCTGGTCTCTCCCTCCTAAATTGTGGCCCTATTAACCCCATGATGCTGGCACCTCCCAGCCCTTTAAGGGGTTTGTGATGTCGGGAGATGGGGCGGGGTTTAGGGTCATGTGACAGCCGTGATTGGCTTTTGGATTGCAGAAGGCTATAGTAGTTTTTTCCATTACAATGTTCGTATAGAAATTGCATTCCTTCTTTCTGTAAAGTGTAAAGAAAACAAGTAATCAAGTATATTGTGAAGTGGCAGTTTTTGTTAATTATTATTATTATTATACAGGATT